ATAAAGTTCACTTACGGAGGCAATCCTGCAGTCATGATGCATACTCGAATAGCAGCTCGAAATGAGTGACGTTATGTCTCCAGTTCTCGCGATAAATCGGCGAGTGTGTGCATGTGTTAGCTTAGATAATTTTGTACGGTAAATGAAGAAAATCAAAGGTTCACGAATGTGAAATGTGTGTGGCCACGCTGACAACGGGAGCCACGCTTTTATCAATGAAGTTTCACGTGTGGGCGCAGCTAACGCAGCCATGATGCATCATTACGCGAGTCACAGCTCGAAAGGATACGGACAGAGGCGCTCTACCAGTCGATTTCATTATACAATTTTTTTCTTTTGCGTAAGGAGCTAGAAGCTATCGAGAAAAACTGCGACGTCATGTGTAGAGATGTTGCCGATGATCTGCGCAATAATTCACAGAACAGGTCCAATGACGGCGACACATTACCAGCCTCAATGTACAATTTACTGTGCTCAGACGAGACAAGAGTACAGGACGCCAGTACACAAACGTAGAGAGCCAATCGTATGTTGTCTTGAACTGAAAAAAAACACATAGCCGGACATGTAATTTCTAGATGCGCAGCTTTTCTGATGATATATCATCAATTACCAAGCAGAGAAGGCCAGACATACGGAAACATAAGGCTTTGAGGGATGGAGCTCGGGTGAGTCGACAATCAACTACTGCACCTACGCCAAGCATCTCTGCAGGTGCATTGTTTAGTCTCACGGCAATCATGCGCAGTTAAAAAAAAAGAACTGTTCGCCCGGTCTCAGTTGATTCAGTATTTACAATTGCGTGACGCAGATGATAACAACAAGGCCAATGGATGCTGAACACAGGTGCCGAGATCCCTATGATTTTTCTTTGCTTTAAGTTTAGAGGTGTGAATAGTTTGAGTCATTGCAGCAGCAGAATTATTAAAAGACCATCCAGTCTTTTACAAGCCGGTCGTTGCACACGTAGTTTCGGCTTGAGCAGAACCAGTCATTCCCTCAGCTTTCAATAGCTATCCCAATTCGAATCCGATTTCTTTGTCAGGGACCAAGATGAATGCCACAGTCAGACAGTTATCTCGAAGCAATGAATCAATGTGTTGCGAGCGTTTCAGGTCGGCATGAACAGGTTCTCACAGTACACCTGGTTCGTGGACGAAGACATGGAGCCTTTCGTCATATATCATTATTAGAAGAGTTTTCGTAGACTATCGTAGTGTGAGTTTCGACATGGCGCAAGAAGATAAACGATCATGGTCTTGCTTCAGGTTGACGCTGAGCCCTGCAATCGCTCGCGCGGCAGAAAGACACTAGTCTGCAGATATAGAACGTTACATGAGTTGAATTTAAAATCCTTTTGTCAAAACCATTCACGCAGGGTTCGGTGGACTTCGCGACGGGGAACGCATTCAGCCGCAAGCTTGCATTGGAGTGCAACGATTTTATGGTTATTATTAAAAACGCAACTCAGGTGCGAGGCCGCATGCATGGCCGAGCCTGATCAGCTCCCCTCGTCGAAAAAAAAGTTCCCGCAATGATCATCTTGCCTGCTTTGGTCTTCTTTTATGTGTAGACTGCATGATGTGCTGCGCTCTGCCAGGGTTTTTAAGAGAAGATGGCCGCTGGCGGAAGAACAGGTCAGATGCCTAGGGAAGCTTGAATATTATAAGACTACGATAAATGCTTGTTGCGAATCCAAGGCCATGCACGGAAGCGGACACTGAGGACGGAATTGTTCAATGATCCAGCCAACTGCCTGAACCCTTTGCGCCTGTGGGTGCGCTTGCTGGCGTTGATTTAGTCTTGGTTACTTGCTCAGAATTGAACGTGAAGTTCAGGAGAAAAAGACCCACGTCCATGAAATCCTCACGACTTCTCTCCAGCCTCGATCCTGGCTGAGTCGATGTTGATCTTTGTTTTGATGCACCGCAGAAGTTGCTGTTGGCAGAGCACAGACCTTGGCTTTTATTGTAGTGATACTCTGACTTGCAAGCAAGACAGTTCGAAGCAGGCCAACGAAGAGCTATCTGGATACATTGATCTTGGCAGAGTACGGACCTTGGTTGATGGTGCATGGATTTTTTTTCACCTGCATGATTGTTACACGCAGATGCGCAATTAGGCAGAAGAACAGCAAGAATGACTTCGTTGTGAAGCCTCAGCCTTAAGCACGCGAGAAGATTAAGCCGCGTGTTTTTTTTTATATCAGGCACTCGCCCGCGGGCTCGCAAGACTTCGCATTCAACGTGCACTTCCGTGCCAGGCGCAGCGTGGAGTCTGTTGATTGATTCATCCGGAAGTCAGCGTAGTAGCAAGCATCAATACAATCCGTTGTCAGGGTGAAGAAGTATCTTGCAGGAATTTACCTGAAGACGATCGAGGCTGTGAACGTGCGTGGAAAAGAATTCAAACGTACCAGTGTTTTGAAGCAGGCCCACGACAGCGAGCAGAAGAAGATGATGGCCGTGCTGAACGCTAACTTGCCTGGTGACGTCCGATGTAGCGTAGCAGAAATGGTTTCTAAGTGCATCTTGCGGTTCAAGCTTTATGAGCTCAGGGAACTACATCGGCTTCGCGAAGAAGCAGACGACAGATATAGTGGAGACAATCTTCATGGAGCCATCTGGATGGTGTGCTTTGTCTTGACTCAAACAAAATAAGAATATAGAATTTCCTGTAGCATGTCCATTGAGCCGACATGGTTGGATTATCACTTCCTGGTCAGGTGATCCGTTATTGCATTCGATTTGGAAGCGCAGCAGGGCTACCACGAGCAAGATTGGGGTGTCCAAGGCAGCCTGATGATCACAAAGAACGTTGAGCTGTAATTTGATGTGGTGTGAATACACTGTGCGGCGGAGTTGCTTAGTGACGCAGGACTTGCGATCCTGGACGCGGATCCACCGAGCCGCGTGGTACAAGGGCCATCGCTCCGGCAGAGGTTCCGTGAGTATAAGTTTCTGTTCTGCCTCTTTCAAGTCCTCGTCGCAGGTCCCAGACTTTTCGGCTCCTGCAGCAGCCTTCGTTTGCAGGATCTGCGATCAGGCTCCAACAGAATAAGTAAAGCCACCAGTAAATGATGCGCGTAGCCAAAGTCTGCTCGAAAGGCATGATGCCACTGCGCAGTGAAAACCATGGTGAAGGCCAGGAGACCGATTTTTCACGATTATAATACATATGTTTTTTTTCTCAATTACATATACATTCCGCAGGACAAGGCGATGTGTTCGAGGAAGTGTGTCTGATCGACAGTCTCAGATGCTTCGGTTTCAAGATCCCATACGTGGGCCACGGTCCCTACTGGGCCCTCGCCGATGGCAACCGCTTTTTGGCTCCTTTCAAGCCGCTACGCTGCATGTAATCATGAAGAGTCATGGCAAAATGGAACGCAGCAGCGCCTGAGGCATTGCCTCACATCTGTGCCTCTCCATTGCATGAGCCTTCATGGGAACTTCGTGGCCAATTTCAACAACCACTTCGTTGCCCTGCGAAGAAACTCAGACGGCTTCTGCATCAATCTGGGTCACAGAAAGCACGAATGGCAGCCTCTTTGTTTGAGCTTCCGAAATGAAGCAGTTCTTCAGTGGTCACGTGACTTTCTCTATCTGGAGCTCAACCCCAACAAGATTGAAGCTCTTTTCATAGTGCAGGCGGATGCTATATTCTTGTCAGATGTTATTCGGAGCGTGCTATGCTGTTACTTGGTGTGAGGCGTGCGATGCAGAAACTGTGGCGGACAGTGGTGATCTTTGCGGCGGTAGCAGAGAGCTCCTCGCATGCGTTTTTTTTTTTTTTTATTTTCTTTCGGGAGCTGATTATTTTTTTAACATGAAAGGAAGACACCGGTGATGACGACATTCCGAGAACATCCAGTCGATGCTGAAATTACTGCGACCGTGCTAAATCAGTTGAACAGAAAAACAATCGTTGTCATGCATTGTTAGGCTGCAAATGTATAGTTCTTGTAATGAAGGCTGGGGGAGCTTCAGTGCACAATCGGTGGCAGAGGAGAAACCGGCATGTGGCTGAAAGCAGGCGGGTAAAAAGATCAAAATCAAAAGCAGTACTACGCTTTCATGAAAGCTGTGCCAACAGGACAGGATCCGAACATGAAGCAAGCAGATGGGCGCGCCGTTTGGGAGTCGTGGAAGACGCACCGTGGAAGACAAGTTTGTTGAGGCAGTTTTTGGCTGACCTAGAACAGCACGGTGGCGAAATTCCTGAACCGCACACGTTGCCGCCTTTGTTTTCCAGCCAGCAGAAGGACATTTGTCTCGTTTCTTTTCACATACAAGTGTCAAGTTTTTGCAATTTTAAGACAGCCAGTTTGTGTTGATCATAACGATATTTCTTTCGCAGGAATGGCTTCTTCTCCGCAACGAAGAGGCGCAACGAAGGACTCAGGCGCAACGGCTTTGCCTTTTCCGACAATTGTCTTGATACTCCGCAGTATTCCGTCATACATCTTGCGTTTCACGTGAAATGCAAGCATGAAGGAGGAAATCGAGAGGAAAGAGCGTCGCAGAGAGAAGCAGGTGCGGTTGGCCTTGCATGCAAGTGCTTGCGCTGAGACTTTAGCTGAAACATGATTGTGTAGCGAGCGTGCGCGGTTTGTTTGCGCTGCTGCAGTGTGTTAATTCTTTCTTAATCATGATCAGGAGGCCAGGACGAGAGTAACAAACGAGAAGGACAACAAGGTGGACTCCAGTGACAAATAGATCATCTTAACAAGACACATTTGTTTTTCGAGTTAGTCATACAGGTTCGCGCGCCGTGTATGCGTGTATCGTTTCTTTATGTCATTCTGCAAGATGTGGCCGTTTCTGTGTCAGGTGGCCAGACTTCAGTGGCCTTCGAGCCACCTATTTGAGTCAGTTCCGATTCCAAATTGAACGCATCTGGAGCAATACACTCGGGATGGCGACTACGTGCTCATCCGGCGCAGGAACGTTGCTTTGCCGGAAGATTACGCAGCAACTCCGCCAGAAGATGGCTACACCATGCACCCTTTCTCTCCTCTACTCCGAAAATTTGGCTTCAAGGGAGGATTCGAAGGTGCAAACTGCCTGGTGTACCTGCCAGCTTATAAGGTCGCCTGCTGGGGAATTTCCACGCACGACGCGAATGCCTTGGCACATGATTTCGAGAATTTGCTGACGGATGCGGCCTTGGCACATGATTATGAGAAATCGCTGACAGATGCGGTTGGTGGGGCGTGGGACCAGTTCCCGGAAGAACTCCTCAGGGAAATCCCACTTTTTCTGTGGGTATACACAGACATACAATGTCTGGCGGCTTGCTCCATTCTCTTGCGAGATCTTGTATACCAAAAGAATTACTGGTCCGACAAGCACATCAGGCTGGATGTCCCTGAGCTTTGCCGCGACGGAGCACGCGCGTGCCGGGCACTGCACCGTTTTCGTCAAGCCAGGACTATCACCCTGGACATTCCGCAGCTTGCTTGGGCGGAGCGTGTGCCTCATCACTGCCTTGCTACATGGAGAGCACATCAACTCAGGCTGCCTGGCGATGAGGTCCAGGGGTGGGAGTCATCGCACCCTCTTTTTGGAGCGGCTAGATACTCTTTGACTTTACCTTCAAACGCCAGAACTGTGTACTTTGGCGTGAAGAGTGTTGCATCCGATCAGAGAGCCTACGTGATGGTGGAAAACCCACACGACACGGACTCCGAGATTTACGCTGGCCTGACAGGCAGTTCGCCTGTACGTCTTCCTGATTCCAAAGCTCACAAACTGCTCATGCCGCCAGGAACACCCAATGTAGTTCTTCTACGATGGAATGCACGCAGCATGCAGCTGGATGTGAACGGCAAGCTCCTTTGTCGGGCATGGCTGCATGCCGAAGCAGAGAACGCGCCGGCGCCGTTCTCATTCATTTTTGTATGGATTTTCTTGCGGCAAGAAAGAACACAGCAGCGGCCTGTCTTGCTGCCCATGCTGACTCCAGTGGCGTCTGACGTGCAGCCAAGGCCAATTCTGGTGTAGTGATTGGCTAAACAAATAACATATACCATGCTAAATAAACTTCGCGAAAAAAATGTCTGAGCACATAGCAACTTACTACATGGCGCTTTAATGCATAGTTGTCTGCTGAAGTAAGCCTCGCTCTTGCAGGTGCTTTACCTGCGGTCGAACAAGCGCCGTGCAATTGTGCAGGTGGGCGATTTGTCCTATGTGCAGGAACTGGATGTGTGCCTCGCACAGGACTGAACACGCAGACGACGCAATTTGTCCTGTGTGTCGAAGAGTGCCACTGCGTTATTTCACCGGAGACGATGCCGTTGGTGGCAAGCACGTCGAAGATGCATCTGCAGAGGAGTTTCTACAATGGATGTGGCAGCAAGCGTGGTGGCAGCAGGAACCTCCGCAGCCGGTGCTGCTAACTCCTCAGCCAACTCGTCCCAATGCTGCACTTTTGCAAGAGCTGCTATTGAATCATGAGGCAGCAGAAGAACAGTCCGATGATGACAGCAGTATTTCGGATGACATTCAGACTGTCAGGACTAACCTTGCCTCGCGGTTTCTTGCAGTATCCTCTGATGAGAACGTTCGTTGGGGTTGGTTGGCAGGTTCAGGATAAGCTCAGAACTATTCCCGGGGAACAGTTCTCAGGGTGACCCGGGGCTACCATGTTTAGATAGGCCTGGCCATTGAGCTCATGTATCCCTGCTCGCAGCCTCTGGTTCTTTGCACACGAGATGACCTATAACACAAGACATTCTGCCGGCGGGAACACAATGTTCTCGATGTTGGTACTCGAAGAAGTTCATGGCTCAAGACATAAAAAATCACCTGACGGTTGCAGAGAAAGTTGTGTTTTAGTGATCATGTGTGACTTGTTTTGAGTTGCTGAGCATAATCTCGCCTTGCTCTGTGTTCCAAAAGCATTGCTATTTTGTGCTGATGCATGGAAAAAACATGGAAGGTTGTGATTGAGTGTATGTTGTCTTGTTGTTTGTGCATGGTGCTTGTGTGCAGTTGTGCTTGTGTGCCGCACAACGTCTTGTTGCTTGCGCATGGTGCTTCTGTGCAGTTGCGCTTAAAAAACTTGAGGGCTGTGCTTGTGCTTGTGTGCAGTTGTGCTTGTGTGCCGCACAACGTCTTGTTTCTTGCGCATGGTGCTTCTGTGCAGTTGTGATTAAAAACTTGAGAGCTGTGCTTGTGCTTGTGTGCAGTTGCGCTTGTGTGCCGCACAACGTCTTGTTGCTTGCGCATGGTGCTTCCGTGCAGTTGTGCTTGAAAACTTGAGGGCTGTGCTTGCTGCTGTTGAGTTTGCATGCGGTTGACATGTAGTGCTCTTGGTCCGGACTTTCTTTCTCAAGCCGTGCAGGGGCACGGCTTGCTTAAAGTGAACACGTAACAAAACAGATACATGGCAAGCTTGGGTTACATGTTTAGAGCTGCCTAACCAGCAGACTTTCAGCAAGAGGTGGTGGATGCAGTATCCAATACTTCCAGTCTGGTCGATGTATATCTAAGTGTAGTGTATATGTCAACTGATATATTTGTTAACTCATTCATTAGAGCAATGGAGAAAGCAGTGGCTGCAAGAAGGCTGCTGATGTTTGCCAACAGCACCGGTGTCGACTTGGATTGCGGGCGGGTGTACCCACGATCCACTTTTGTCGAGCTGTTAGTAGAGATGTTGCAGACATCACGTCGCATGGACAAGCGCGGAGCCCTTGCAGTTGTTCGCGATGCTTTGTCGTCAGTGCGTGTGCTCAGTTGTCTCACTTGGTTGTATTCGTGCTTGGGTGCGCATGCGCATGGTCAACAACAACAACAACAACAACAGCAACAGCAACAGCAACAGCAACAACAACAACAACAGCAGCAGCAACAACAGCAACAACAGCAACAACAGCAACAACAGCAACACCAGCAACAACAGCACCAACAGCACCAACAGCAACAGCACCAACAGCAACAGCACCAACAGCACCAACAGCACCAACAGCACCAACAGCACCAACAGCACCAACAGCACCAACAGCACCAACAGCACCAACAGCACCAACAGCACCAACAGCACCAACAGCACCAACAGCACCAGAACCAGCACCAGAACCAGCAACAGCGCCAGCACCAGCGCCAGCACCAGCACCAGCACCAGCGACCGCAACAGGCGACAACAAGAGCAACAGGAACAGCGACAGTAACAGCAACAGCAACAACAACAACAACAACAACAACAACAACAGCAACCGCAGCAATCACAATCACGAACCACAACCACAACCACGACGACGCATCAGAAAAAAAAAACTGTGATGGCCGTCGCTTGTGACCGCGCTGCGCATTGATTGCTTGCTTTGTTGCATTACATGTATGCCAGTTATGGCCAAGGCTGGCGGGCAGAAGGATGATCGCAAGTTCATGCAAGTGTGGGTTCAGCATTCCGACGCGCAGTCGGTTCTACAACAGCTGAACCTCCCCTTCATGTCTTGTAATAGCAAGCCGGCACAGAACCCGGCACAGAGCATACTTGTGGATGACTGCGACCATAGCGGCGACGAGATTATGGAAGTTGAAGCTGAAGCTGTGGTTCCGCTCGGCGAACATCGCGAACCACTTTCTCAATTGGATCCAAATGCTTTGCCTTGTCGATTGCGCCGCTCACACACCATGTGTAGTGGAGCCAGCAGGGCATCCATGACGTCTGGTCTGGCTTCGGGGCGGTCGACTTCTGATCTGGAGTCCCAGACCACACAAGTGCGAAGCAACGACGCAGAGAACGACCCACTTGACATAGTCGAGACAAGCAGCATCGCTTCCTCGAGGGTAGTGAAGCGGTGGACTACAGCAGCATTACGGCAACTCTCGCAAAAGGATTATGAGTCCATGCCACCTGCGCAATGCAGGCTTGTTGCTGCAAAGTCGTCCAACGCGTTGCTGCAGATGACCCAGAAACACCAAGAAGCACGGAAGCAAGTGAGAGTTTTGAAGCGCGCCAACAAGCTTCAAGCAGAAGCTCTGGTAAAAAAACAAAAGCTGCTTGACAACGAGCGTTTGAAATCTAGCCTCGAGATTGTTTCGGTCGGCAAGTCTGGGAAAAGGGTTTCGCGATCAAGTGTCTTCGCAATTGGGATTCGCAGAAATCTATCAAACATCGCCTCGGCAGACTTCGGTGCAACTATTCTGCGGGATATGTCACGCATGATGGTCACGCGCGCCGAGGTGCGCACTGCTGCGTCAATTCTGTGCAGAATGAAGAACGTTTGTTACGCTGTTGTCGAGGCCGATGCAAGCCCAGACAAACCAGGCTTCTGCGATCCGGCAGACATAGGAAATGGCTCATGGAAGTTATCCACGGTGTCCATACGATGTGACGCAACCAACTCGTCAATCTGGCGCCGTGAAAAACTCCATGTGCTAGATGTCGACTTCGCCTGGATCCACAACACGGATGCCGTGAAGAAGTACGACGCCTCATCTGCCGTGAAATGTGTCAGATGCTTGTAGGGACCTCAGCCTACAAGTTGCTTTTGTGGGGTATTCGGCACACGTGGCTTTGCGGGTTGGTTGTTCGAACATAGTGTGCCAGCAGGACCGACACGCAAGTGGTTACAGGAAAGTCTGCGCAAGACTGCAACGGACTGGTGAACAAGCAGCTCAAGTCAGCCGGCGTTCCTCTGTGGGAAGACATCGTCACAGATCTGAAGTCTGCGCATCCTGGGTAACATTTGTGTTGCGTAACTAGTAGACTCATCGATTCGACGTGTGTAGTGCAGTGTGTGTAGTCACAGCATTGCGTGGAACGTCGTTGTGTGCGCATGTGTGCGCTGCAGGAAGCCCACGATCTCCAACAAACATGTGTTCTTGTACATGGACGTGACTGACAAGGGGTCTGACCAAAGCTGCAGGAAACGATGCATCGCAGAAGCTGTCGAAGCATCCCAGTGCCCAAACATTGTCTACATCCCTGGATCATGTTTCCTACACATGTTCCACGCATGTGTCAAAGACGGGCTGGTGCTTCTTGACGAGCTGACCAGCAGCCTGTTTGACACGTCTGTGCTCAAGGGCTTCAGGAAGTACTACGGATCGCTGAGTAAGATCGTCAACACTTGGCGTGAGCGAGCTTCAGATATAATGACTGCATGGGACACAGCATTTGGTGACGAATGCCTGGAGATTGCAAAGCTAGGGCGGCGGTACCCGCTGGCAGTTGTGAGTGGCAGGTGGGGATCAGTCGAGGCGGCAGAAGACTTCATGTTGCTTCGAGGCCGCGAACGAGTGGTGCCTACTCTCCTGGCTGTCCTGAGCAAACATATGCGTGCTTTGGGTTTGCATGGACATGACTGACACACGGTATCGCGCATGCAGCTGTTGCAGTGGACGTTAGACGTTGTTTGATCTGATCTTGTGTTTGCTTGTGTCACGATACTTGCGTTACTTGCATGCGATGGCATGGTTGCTTGTGATTGCTGGTTGGCTTTGCTCACTGGCTTGATTGCTGCTATGACATGACATGATTGCTTGTGATTGCTGATTGGGCTTTCTCACTGGCTTGATTGGTGCAATGACATGGCATGACTGCTTGTGCTGTTTGGATTGATTGCGTGCGGGTGATTGCTGCTTTAATTGACTTGATTTCATCTGAGGCGCAGGTGAACCCAGCGGTCCGAAGACAGATGCCCTTGACCCGAACGCTGAAGATGATTCCCACGCATATCGCCTGAAGCTCTCGAAATGGTACCAAGGCACGTTTGACTCCATACAGCACCCTATTTTCTGGTACCTGCTCACCATCGCACGCTGTCTGAGATCGCCGCTACGGCACTTCATGGCGTTCGTTCAGCTACATGCTGGGAAGAACAATGCCGGCGAGGTCATGAAGCAACTCGTCACGGGCAAGCTCGACGAGCTACATGAAGAGTTCAGGGTGCTGTTCCAGAACATGGATGCTATTATCAGAAGAGCCCTTGAAATGTCGGGCTGCGACAACCTGTTCTGTGATGACCCAGCCGGACAGCGTGCGTTGGCGTTGCTTGCAAGAAGGGTCCTCTTCCAGCAGTGGTCCTCCTTTCAGAGGCGCATCATGTATCCTCTGCGCCAGTGCCCTGTTGTGTCAGGTAGCGAATGTAGTAGGTTAGTAGGCGATTGCAGCAATTGTAGCATGGTAGTCTCAGTTGAGTTGTGTGGCTTGTTGGTTTGGCTTGTTGGCATCTTGGTCCTTGTTGGTTTGGCTTGTTGGTGAGTACCAAGGTACCCTTTCAAACTGCTCTGGCTCATCAAGGAACATCCTTTGCGCCATTGCCCGAAGCGAAGAGGACTTCACTTGAAGACTTGAAATGGTGGCATGACATGATCCTGCTTGCACGGGCCTTCGATGCATGATATGCAGTGCAGCACAGTGCTTGGTCAAGTGTTTGGTCTGTGTGTATTGCTGCAGGAGTGGCTGAAGAAGTGCTTGGACTTGATCGGACGGACCCGAGCACGAGAGCAATCAAGAGGCTCTGTGTGTCAGAACTAAAAGCTATTGCGGAGTCGGGCACCTTCAAGAAATCAGATGCATCGTCGCCCAATGGGAGCTTATTGTGGTCGATCTTGATCATGATTTCAAAGTTCATGTACGCAGAAACGCAGGCTGTTGAAGGCCTCAACTCCATTGTCAAACTTTTGGGGCGAAGATGTCCAAACATTAGCTTAGAGCTTCTGAGTTCCAGGTTGACGATCAAACACCTACTCGGCCAGGCTGACGGAGTCACAGCATGTGGAAAGAAGTTTTCCACTATCAAGGCTCTTGCAGAGCGCGAGCTTACGGAGCTATCGGATTTTGCAACAGCCAGCCTAAGTATTCTAGCTGATGCGCAGCGGTGGTCGTCAGCCCCAGCATTGGAGTTTCCTGATTTCACTGGCAGCTCTGGCAGCTCTTCTGCAATCCAGGACGCAGGCGACGGTGCGAAGCCACCTCCGCCACCACATCCTGCAGAAGCAGCCGCGGTTGCGGTTGAGCCGACTCAGAATTGCTCTCTGCAAATTGCTGACTTGCTCTCCCGTGGCATAATGCCCAACGCGAACTTGTTCCTGGGTGATGTTTGGGGCCCACGCTGGGAAAAGGCCGTGGCGTGGGCTAGATCGTACAATCTTGGCTACAAGTGGACAACGGGGGGCTGTAGCGGCAGAATGCGCAAGCTTTCAAAAAAACAGCAGGACAAAGTCAAGCAATTGCACACGCCTGCCGGCTTGGCGCTGTTGATCGTGCCATCCGTTGACAACACAGAGACCACCTTCCACGTAGCAACAGATCAGTTCTCGCACAGCGTATGCTTTTCCAGGCTGCAAATTTTCAAATGCCGTGCGGCTGACACTGACACTCATGATGTTTGCGAATGTGTTCGGTGGTTGCACGATGGGTCGAACTATGCAGACACTGTTGAGTCAACGTTGCTTTTCGGCAAGTACTATGATGCCTGTGTGCGTGGTGAATCGTTCTCAGTCAGGGCAGCGTTCCTGACAGTCGACATGTGCGAACAGCTTTTCACATCACCAGGCTACTTGCGGGTGGATGCTGTTCTGGGTGCTTCAGTGGAGCTCTTTGTCATGAGAAAGACTTTGATGCCGGGAGCTGCGAACAAACCCAAAAAAGCCAAGGCCAAGGCCAAGGGTGAGGCGCAACCAGCCGCGCCAGAGCATACTGACAAGGCACTGAAAGATGATGGTGATGATGACGACGGCGGTGATGCTGCTGATGACCAAGATCGTGCGTACATGAGCATTGCTGCGGATGCCGACATGATGGATGCATCAGGCTCTGAGGGAGGTGACGACGAGCACATGGAAGACAAAGACGTTGAACAGGACAATGAAGACGCAGCAGAGCACGAACACCAAGAGATCAACCGTGCAATGGCCAGGGAGGACCGTCAGGACCGTCCTTCGTCCAGAGAAGTTGCGCGCGTGGCAGGTGCAGTGGCGTTTGGTTCGTGCTCGCAAACACAAGCAGAGTTAGAGGAGGAGGCACTTCTCCTTCTGGTGAGACAAAGAAATCAGAGAAAGCATTCGTTGCCGGGAACGGATAAGGTCGCTGTGTTCCTCGAAGGTGTTGGTGACGCCGATGTAGCAAGCTCCCTAGCTGACAATGCCCATGCCGATGATAGCGCGGACTCAGCAAGTGATGACGCTGATGAAGCTTCGTCTGCTGCAGCGTGTGCCGCACAGTTCTTAGTAGATCACGACGCCAACGATTGCGACGGGGACACACAGACTATGAACATGGACTCGGACATGGACATGGACACATGGTTCTTGTCGGAGTCTGCGTCAAATGCTTGGGCTTATTCTTGCATGAACACAATTAAAGCTTTGCGTGCTGTTTGTGCGATGCAGTGCAACAGGAAGCTCGGGGAAAGCAGGTCCATCAGTCTGGTCCTGATGTCGCCACAGAAGTTTGATGATTGCAGGTGTGTTCGGTGTCGCTGGGGCCAACCCATGAACGGGAATGCAGATGCAAACACGGATGTTCCAGAACTACTTTGGGTAACGTGGTTGAACAATCACCCGACGCACGGCGTCCTTGAAAGAAGAGCAAGGCACGTGAACCTTGATCAAGACTCGAAAGTTTTGTATTGCGTTGCAGACACGACCTACGCTCGAACAGGCTTGCGGGGTGGCATGGGTCATCCCGAAATCCTATGTGACGAGCGTCACGCTCAAGTCCTTATCCCATTTGTGAACGCAGCTATGAAAAAGGTGAAGAAGACATCCGCAGACAGGGACCAAGTGCCAGAGGCGTGCCTCACCGTCATGGAGTTCTACGAGTCTCTGGTGTGTCGACTGGTGTCTCTTGATTCAGTGGTGGAGGAGAGGGCCTTGTACACATCCTCGCTAGCGTGACCTCGGTGTACCGAGAGTTTGTAGGCTGTCAGTATGTCACGCTGCAATTGTGTTGCTGTTCATGCACATGTTGGCGGGTAGGCTGTCAGTGCTTCATGCTGCGGTTGTGTTGTGTTGCTGCGCAAGTGCATGTGACCACCACACTTGTCATCCATGAGAGCTGGAGTTGCGACAGTCTCAGCTGTGAGTTGCGAGTTGAATGTTGCGGAGTTGCACTTGTGTGTGTGTGTGTTATTTGTTTTAAACGTCTCGTGATAAGACACATGTCAGGAGGGCCACCGTTGTCGCTGTTGCAAGAAGAAGACTTTACAGTGTGGCGAGGGCCCACGTCGTTGTGCTGTGTGCGGCAAGCATTGGCATGACAACTGCGCGCGCGTGTTGGCATCAAAGCTTTCTCATCCGATGGTTCGACAGGCGCTGCTAAAGCAGCATGGCAAGCTGTTGAAAGGATTGCGTTCATGCCTTGCGCGGTCCTTGCCTGCTTTGGGTGTCGTCGATGTCTGGAATGTCTTGACAACTTCACCATCGTCACCATCTTCATCATCATCATCATCCACTTCTCCTCCTTCAAGGCCCAGCCTGTTGGTCATCGGTCCTCGGTGTCGTTGTTGCTTACTGCTGACTTTAAGCTGTGTCTGTGCCAGGATTCCACAGGTTGCATGCGCGCTGTGCCAAGCAGTATTGAGATTAGCCGACTGACTTCCACTGACAGAGCCGCTGTGCACTCGGACAGTTGGTGCATGATGTGTGCAACGGTGCTGTCGCTTCATGCGTACTGCGTGACTGACTAAGGTTGTGTGGTGTGGTGACCTACACGTGGAGAAGTGCGATGCTCAGCTTTCGCCGCTTTGCCATCAGACTGGACTGACCGTTGCGCATCTTGCTGTTTGATGGATGCACTTCAGCTTGTTGCAGCTGCAGTATTTCACGTTCTGCATGTGCGAGTTCCGCGGCTTTGGGGCTTGAGCCCACGGGGCTGCAGCTGACAGTGTGTGTGTGTCCATGTTTGTGTGCATCATGTTTTGCATGTCATGTCATGTTGTTAGTTGTTATGTGAGCAATCAGTCAGGTGCAATGACAGGGCCTTGATGTGACATGCGACATGAACTTGTTAGCATTGTGAATTGTGAAGTGTGAAGTCAGTTGGTCTGTCTTACATTGTCTTGCTGCAACCATGGTTAGTTCTGATGATGATGAGCTCGGTGCAGAAAGGCACGAGCGTTCACATCCGATTCCGAAATCGCCTGAGGATTACACGCGTTTAAACCTGACAGCTAAATACACTTCCCCGGCCGCCCCGCCGACAGACCGCCCGCCACAAAAGGCACGGCCGCGACTCCCACGGCCGGATCTGCGGAGGGAGCCGCCTGGGCCCAGGCCAGCCGAGGGGCACACAGCAGCACCAACGACCCCTCCAAAACAACCGCCACCGCCGCCGCCGCCAAAGTCCGTGCCGCCTCCGCGTGGTGAGTCGGTTGTCACATTGGCCAGCTTGGGTCTTCCGCCTCCACCGCTAGTGCCGCGGGAGTTTATCATGCCACTGCGACCGCCGCCGCCGCCGCCGCCCAAGCCTCACGGGCCACCGCCGCCGCTCCCTCCGCCCTCCGAGCCCTTGAAGGCACCGGCGCCGCCGCCACCACCACCACCGTCCGAAGTCTCCAAGACCGAGTCGAAGGTTCCAGTTCCGGCGAAGCAGACGAAGGTGCGCCCATCCATGGCACCACACGTGAAGTCAGAATCAAGCTCCGAAGAAGATGCTGATGCAGGCCCAGGCCCAGGCGCAGATCCCTTCCCGCCACTTCCGCCCCAGCCGTCGCCGTACGTTGCGCCGCAACCGGAACCGCCCCACGTGGCCCGGCCCTTTTCGACACCGTTCGAGCCCTTGCACCGCCAAGCCGCCATGCGTGCGCCCCAACCAGCCACCATGCCGACTATGCCTGTCCCCCAACTGGACCCGCAACAGGCCAGTATGAAGGCAGCATACATGCAGTTCTTGCAAAGCACAGGCCTGCGGCTGCCATATACCATGAGTATGCCCGGCATGGTGCCTGTGACGCACACACACGTGTATAGCGCCACCATGCCCCGTGCGATGGCGCAGGGCTTTATGGGCGCCGGAGTTGACAATCCCACGAACATGAACATGACCGGCGGGCCAGGACCACACTTGCTACGGCCGCCTGCGGCGCACACGCCGCCAACACCAGGCGTGCCAGGCGGCATGCCACCCACAGCGCACGCGCCGCCAACACCAGGCGTGCCAGGCGGCATGCCACCCACAGCGCACGCGCCGCCAGCAAATGAGTTCGTTCCACGTGATGTACACCAGTACTCTCTACGAGGCACTGACCTAGTAGAGCCGGTTGATTCCATGGTGAAGGATGCTGCTTGATCGCGCTTGACTTGTGCTGTGTTGCTGTGTTGCTGCGTTGTGCATGTTGTGCATGTTTGCGTGTAGTGAAGCATCAACATGTCTGGTAACAAACATGTTTACTTGATTGTGTTGCTCGATGCACAACTGTCTCCTTAGGCAAGCATTGCGGCAAAGGAAGATGCTTTACTTCGTGCAGCTTTACGGGCATCCCTGGCCGACATGGGGGGCGCGAACTCTGTGGCTGATGCTGCATCAGTGCATGCGGTGGATGATTCAGCGGATGATGATGATGATGATGATGATGATGATGATGAAAAAGATGATGATGATGATGATGATGATGATCAGACTGAAAGGGAGAAGAAGGCGAGTCCGGATGAGGACAAGAAGAAGCGGACGCCGAGCGGGTCGAGTTCGGAGTCCAGCTCGGGATCAGGGAGTTCAAGTCCACCTTCAAGGAAGTCGCGACGGTCGCGGTCGCGGTCTGCCACGCGGGAGCACGATAGTCGTGAATCAAATCGATTAGTGCGTCTTGTGCCCATTGTGAACATGATATGATTGATTCATGTGACTTGTTGACACGGGACAGCATGACGTGCAGGAGCCTGTGACTGCCGAGCCATCATCGTCCGCACCATCGTCGTCGTCCAAATGCAATCCCCAGGCAAAGACATCTTCGCCAGCCGAGCATGGACCAGTGGCCGCTAAGCCCAAGAAGAACCGGCAGCCGCGGCAGCCCAAGAGGAAAGCCCGAGCGGCCAATCCGGCCAAGAAGGTCAATGCGGAACCAACACGACGGTCACGGCGGCAGGCGCAGGAGCTAGAACAATCCCACATACTGTATGGGCGAGATTCAAGCTCTATGTCGTGTGTGGGTCGCTCCATGCTTTCAACGTGCAGGATAAACCTCACGATAACAAGGCGAAGACCAAGGAGTCTAAGGCTAGATGTCTTGCTCTCACCTTTGGCCACCTGTTGTCAAGTTGCGACTGTGTTTGCTTGCTGTCAGGCGAGCGTAAAGAAGCGGTCGGGATCGAGATCTGCGGGCTCGTCAGTGACGGAGTCGGAGATTAGGCGAGCGAGAGAAGAGGTGGACAAAGACATTGAAGAAATCAAAGAGGCAGCGCTGAGCTGTTGACTTGGTTATTCCCGCCTCTCTCTCTTCATTCTCTTTCTGTTTCTCTTTCTCTTTATCTTTCTCTTTCTCTTTCTCTTTCTCTTTCTCTTTCTCTTTCTCTTTCTCTCTCTCTCTCTCTCTCTCTCTCTTTTTCTCTGTGTTTCTTTGATGCACATCTGTTTGGCTCATTGGGCTTTGTTATTATAATACTGAACACTGGAGGTCGTCAGGCGGAAGAAGGCAAGGGCACGCTCCGCTGGAAAACGGGGGCACAAGGTCAGTCTACTGCTTCATCGCAGTGCTCATTGTTCACATATGAATAATAAATATAAGTATAACAGAGAAATAAATAACTATATATATACATATACATATATTTTGTGTATCTAGTAGTTATACAATATGAACCCTTCATGTTCATAATTCATGCGACCTTTGCAGGACAAGCCCCAGGACGAGGACCAAGACATTGACTAGCAGATGCGGGAGCAACTTTGACGTACGTTATGTTTGCATGTCAAGTCGTCCAGCTTCTTGTGTGCTTGAGTGTTTGAGTGCTTGAGTGCCTGCGAGCTTTATTGACACGAGCCTCAGCTAAGACTGTGGTTGGTGGTTGTGGTGGCCGCGACGGCGGCGGCGCTCGATACCACCATTCCGCGTGGGAAAATGAGTCAGCAAGAGCCAGCCCATCTGAGCAATACATGCATGCCTAGCACATGCTCTGGAGCAGCGACGTAGCATGCTATGTGTTGTCACTGTTTCCGCTTGTCTCGCGTGAGGTCAACCCAATCTTCCGTGATGTTGTGTCGCGCTGCACTCAGATGGTACATGTGACTACATGTGACTTCTTCACGTTAAGTGACACACTTGAACTCTTCCTGCTCTGACCTTGTGAAGGTCTGCAGCCTGCAGCTGCACGTTCTCATGCGCAAGGTTTGTCGGCTTGAATGCGATTGATTGCTTGAGCTGGTTTGTTTGTGTTGCGCTTGATCGTCGGCTTGAATGCGATTGATTGTCTTGACTTGAGCTGTGTTGTTTCTGTTGCGCTTGATCGTTGGCTTGAATGCGTTTGATTGCTTGAGCTGTTGGTTTGTCTTGCGCTTGATCAGCGTATGGGTTGCACGCGTACGTGGTTGTGCTTGACATTGTTGCTGCAACTAGTCTGATTGTGTAAGATAAGTGGTGATAAAAGTACAATTAATTTAACAAATTTATAAGGCCACACAGCATCGTTTGAATTATTGGATGAACCACTAGAACTTCAGCCGCCATCTCAGAATTATTGTCCTTAGGCGTCTAATCACTCAGAACTTGTGTTCGTAGGCATTGAGGGCTCTCAGAACTCCAGTTCTGAGGGGGGCTGTGGGCCTCAGAACTCGAGTTCTGAGAGGATGAGGGTCTCAGAACTCGAGTTCTGAGAGGGTATGGGTCTCAGAACCCGAGTTCTGAGGGGGCTGTGGCCCTCAGAACTCGAGTTCTGAGGGGGGTGAGACTCTCAGAACTCGAGTTCTGAGGGGCTGTGGCCTCAGAACTCGAGTTCTGAGGGGCGGTGGGCCTCAGAACTCGAGTTCTGAGGGGGCGGTGGGCCTCAGAACTCGAGTTCTGAGGGGGCTGTGGGCCTCAGAACTAGAGTTCTGAGGGGGCGGTGGGCCTCAGAACTCGAGTTCTGAGGGGATGAGGGCCTCAGAACTCGAGTTCTGAGGGGGCTGTGGGCCTCAGAATTCGAGTTCTGAGGGGATGAGGGCCTCAGAACTCGAGTTCTGAGGGGGCTGTGGGCCTCAGAATTCGAGTTCTGAGATGGTGAGGGCCTCAGAACTAGAGTTCTGAGAGAATGAGGGCCTCAAAACTCGAGTTCTGAGAGGGTTGGGGGCCAGAAGGCACTCAGGGCCTTCAGGCCTCAGAACTTAAATTTTAAGGCGTTAAGAATCCTTAATGAATAATCTTGACGCACCAGGAGGTTAATGTTTAATAGCTTTTAACATATCTACAAAAACTCACGTCAATCATAATAAGCTGAATCAAATCAATTTCTCACACAGATTAGACAACTTGTGATATGCATTTGCTGAACACACATTGTATTTATTGTTTTTGTTTATGCTGCGTTAACGACATAACACTTCAAATATGATCGGCAATCTGATCACAACATGATGTTTGTGCGTGTGTGCGTGCGTGTGCGTGTGCGTGTGCGTGTGCGTGTGCGTGTGCGTGTGCGTGTGCGTGTGCGTGTGCGTGTGCGTGTGGGTGTGGGTGTGGGTGTGGGTGTGGGTGTGGGTGTGGGTGTGTGTGTGTGTGTGTGTGTCTGTGTGTGTGTGTGCTTGAACTGCTTGACTGTTCATCAAGAGTATGCGTCTGTGCGATTGAGTTGTGCGATTGGACATGTTTGCGCTACATGATGCTTGTGTGCTTGCACGTGCTGCCCGAGCTGGACAGTCAAACGGGGTTGCGCAGCATGATGTTTGAAAGTTGCTTGGCTAGAGGCTACGCAAACAATTTGCGTGCAATAGACCATTCATCACAACTATGTTCACGAACGCCTTGGAGGTGTGCTTTATGCAACACATCGCTTTGGTGCACAGAGGCAGGCACGCTGGCGATCACTGCTGGGTGGACTGCAGCATGTGCACATGCACATTACTGTTTGGTGTTACGTCTTACATCTTGTTCATGTGCTTGCGATCGCATGCTCATGAACCGCTGCCGTGGTTTTGTGCTTGTAATCGCATGCTCTCGTGTTTGAGACTGTGTGCACGTGTGATTGAGCTTTTGTGCCGGGCCGGTATGTCCCTTGCTCAAGACTCAATGCTGTAAATTGTAGACTTCATTGAGCAAGTAGTTCAAGCATACACGACGGCGTTAGACTTTCGTGAGCAACTTGTAGACTTTTCTGAGCGAGTAGTGTGAGCAGCCACGATAGCCGGTAGATTTTGGTGAGCAATTGGTGGTTATAGTGTACGCGTCCACGATGCCACCCAAGAGGTCCGCGGCGAAGTCACAACAGAAGCCTCCCAAGACACTCAAGGCACCAAAGGCGCCAAAGGCAAAACCCAAAGCATCGCCAGTCCGGTCGGGGCGAAATGCATCGCCAAAGAGCAGCCACGCACCAACTACCTCGACAAGCGCGTCGCAGTGCAACACATCACCAACTTTAACAAGCAGATCGTTAAAGCGAAACCTTAGTGGTTCGCCCATCAAGTACGAGCCCATTCAACAGGAAGCCATCGCTGCATTTTGGCACAACTGCAGTGGAGCAGCCGAAAAAAACAAGAAGGCTCAGAAGACACACGAGACTGCGAGCCAGCATGCGGACAGTCACCAGATTGAGAAGCCAGTTTCTATACCAACACAGGTTGGATCGAGCGAGTCTGCCTTTGAGTTGCCTTCTCATCAGGTCGCAGCCGCAGCACAGGCTCTTGTGGCTGATGGAGTTGCGCAGCCTGCGGCAGAGGAGGAGACGCCGGCTGCAGAGTCTGCAGAGTCCGTGGCGGAGGCGGCGGGCGCGGAGGGTGTTCAGGCATGCTGCGCGGAGATCCCGGAAGCGAAGGTGGCTGCTGCACCGCCTACTGTTCAAGAACCTGCTGATGGTGCGATGGAGTGTGTTGGCGGTGAATCAGGGACAGCGGCTGTCAAAACTGATGGGCCTGCTGTGGCGCTTGATTCTGCTTCGGCGAGCCTCGAAACACAAGTGAGCCAAGAACACAAGACAGAAGGTTGCAATCGAATTCCGGAGAATGGATCGACAGAGTCCACCACCAATGTGGTGATCCCGTCGACGGAGTCTACCAACAATGCTCAGGTGATCCAGCAGACGGAGCTCACCGACAAAGCACAGGCGATCCCCCGTGAAGACAGTCATGACCGTCATGACCAAACTGATTTGGATGAGCTTGCGCATGTGGGTGATCATGTTCTAGGTCATGGCAGCACTGACTTGGGTGAGCCTCAATGCTTGGAACCGGGTGAGTCCGATCTTGCACATGTTCATGTTCCTGAGCCTGAGCACCACCGCACTGACCTGGGTGAACAGGGTGAGTCTGACCTTGCACATGTTCCTGTTCCTGAGCACCGTTCTCGTGATGCTGATTTTGATTCTGATGAGGATGCCTCAGATGACAATGACAAAAATGCATCGAGAGCTGCTCATCACATGCTCCGGCAGCAAGACAGGAAGAGTCGATTGGGAGATCTCATGCGGTGGCCTGAGAAGATGATGGATCGCCTGTGCAATATGGGCGAGTCCAGCACGGAGACACAGAAGAATCAGGTGCTTCACCGCATGAATGAACGTGCAAACGGCTTGAGGATTTCGACAGCATTTTCTGGCATAGACACACCTGGCATTGCCCTCAGCATGATGTCGCTTGCAATAGCCAGTGGCCTTGGACTGCCACTCGAGAAACGTCCACGGTTCGTCAATTTGTATGGCGTAGAATGGTACGCGAAGTCGCAAGACGAGTTGATGACTTCACCTGATGGGCCTTCGTGCATATACGGCGACATACACAACTTTTGGCAAGATCACATGGCTGCGAAAGTTGAGACTCTGTTGAGTGAGGGCATGTTTGTTACGGTCATGACAGACCTCCTCAAATCCATGAAGATCAACTCACTTGTTCGTGCCGACGCGTTTTGTGTGAAGTGCAACAAGAAGTGTACTGTGGCTCATCTGCATGTACTTGTTGGCCTCATGCAACCGCAGCCTTGTTGCGCATGTGTTTTGTGTTGTCAAGAGTTGCCTGAGGCACAACCCGCAGACCTTCATGTTGCAGGCACGCCCTGCATTGACTTTTCGCCTCGTGGCCAAAAGAAAGGCTTGTGTGGGCCTACTACCGGCCACTTGTTCTGCTGGCTGGCGCTGCGCCTCCTTTTGGAGGACGCTTATGTCATTCAAGAGAACGTGCCGGCATTTGCCACGCACGTCCTTGCTGCGGTGCTGGGACACATGTATCACGTGGATACCGCGCTTCTCGATCCGTTTGAACTTGGCTGGCCAATCGTCAGGAAGAGACGCTACACTGTGCTTCGTCACAAAACCAAAACCGGGGCAATGACGCAGCCGCTTCATCAGTGGAGCAGACTCTTCATTCGACAGTACATCCCAGAAGACAATGGTGTCGACGGTGTCGGCGTTCCAGATTGGGACGTGTTCCTCGTCGCTGGCCCTGTCGAGCTACGAGAAGAGCTGCTTTGGGCAGCAGGGCGGTCACAAAGCCAGTGGCAATGGAACGACACTCAAGAGACTCAAGAGACTCAAGATGACGAAAACCACGGCAACGGCAACACCCAACCGGCGCGACTGAACCCATTGGACCCAACTCCGTTGGGTCCATTTTGGCGAGCGCTGAACAAAGGCGAACAAGAGCACTTGGAACTGTATCGGACGCTGTCGCAAGGTCAGGTGTTCCAACTGAACCAAGACCCGGACTTCGGTGCCAACATCTCCACTGCGCGTCATTTGCGCACGCTGATTAAGAACAGTGGCATTTTGTGGTAGCTTGCTTGCATGTTTTCGGGCTTCTCTGAACTTGTGTCTGTCATGACGGTTGAGCAGTTGAGCGCTAAAGTTCAGTACACGTTTTCGGTCTCGTGGCTGGCGGCCAGCTGTCATGATGTTTTCCTGTGTGTTGACATTTTTGTTAAGAGTCCACAGCCCACGGCCGTTATTCAAAGCACATGTCACAGAACAAAGTGTTATGCGACATGTTGCGAGTCGAGTCATGACAGTCATGACATGAGTGCTGTGTTGTTGCTGTTGTCGCACTTGTCGATGTTACGGTCAGCATGATGTCATCTTGAGCTTGCGCAAGTGCTATCCATCTGGCTGTGACTCATGACTCATGACTGTTGTCTCAGGTCAGACTCACACCACAGGTGGATCACAAGCCGTGAGGCGTTGGCTTGCCAGGGCATCCCGATTCTCAAGACATTCTCTCATGGGGTCGCAGTGTGCACGTGGGCCATGGACGACTACGACAATGACGACTACAGCACGGAGAACTGCCGTCGAGCAATGCTTACAGCGGCCGCGGACAATGACCGCACGAGCCGCATAGGTCAGGCTGGGAATGCGATGCACGCAGAGTGCGTCGGACTCTCGATAGCCTATGTCTTGTCGCAGGGCACATCAAAGAGCAGTGGCAGTGATGCAAGGGGCACTGAGCAACAGCCCGGTAGTAGTAGTCGTCTTTCACCAGCACTGAAAGGAATGGCGGCCATGATTGCTGGCAGAGGTAGCTGTCGCCGCAAATGAATTTTCAATGACAGCTGTTGACGCTGCTGGGCTTCGTACCACGCATTCTCGTGGCGCATGGCTCGTGTTTTCTGTAGCAAAAGAAAATAATATAGAATAGAACTGGAATAGTGGGGGGAGGGTGGGTGCACACATTCATGCGCGTGAAGTGAAGTGACACGTGCGACACGTGCGCTAGGATCCATGAGCACGAGGCGTGCAACACATCACATCAGATCTGGGGGCTGCAAATCTGGTGGCTGAAAACAGACATGCAGTGCAGTCGTGCTAATGCAAGTTCGGTGCGTGTGCCAGGGCCATGTCTCATGTCGCTCCGTTGTTATTGTGCCTTGCTTGCTTGATGAGCTTGATGAAACACACGTGCGGGCTTGCAGGCTTGTTGTCGACTTGTCGATTGTACAGATTGGAGTGGGCAGCCAGCCGACTCATTCGGCTCCGCTTTCCGGCTCTCTGTGTTCGAGCCTCAGCATGTCACAGTCTGGTGGTTGCGGGGCCGGCCCGGCCCAAGGGTGTGAGCATGCGGGCATGCACAAACAGACATATTGCTTGAACATGTCTGCTGGCATGTGTGCGCATGGCTTGTTACTTGTGATGTGACTTGTTACTTGTTACTTGTTACTGAGAACCGCAGCCCAGCTGAGTAGATTTGTGAGTTGTTGTAGTGCGCTGTGTTCTCCCGAAGTTCGGCGAGGCAGGCTCAGCACCACCGTGCGACTCACGCGTCTCGTGTGATGACATGATGACATGTCATGCTTGCTCCCTTTGTGGGCGTGGTCATGAGTCATGCTGCTGTTCATGACTTGCAAGTTCGACATTGTATGATTGTATGCATTACTCACATAGCCTGGCATAAAGGCATCATGATGAGCAGCAACGCAGCAAGTGGTGCGAGTCAGAAGTCGAAAACGAAACCCTCGTTGGACATGACCACGGCATCGTCTCTCGGCTGCCCTCAAGCCGTCCGCGCGAGGGGAGCAGCCGCACACGCCACCGAGGTACAAGCAAGCACAGGAGGTTCTGTTCGGAGATGACATGGATCTTTGTACGAGGTTCAACATGACTGATGACAGCGAGAAAGGCACTATCCTTCTGGACAGAATTTTCCAATGCTACCAGGAGATTTTGCATAGTGACGACTGACAGTAACTGCGAGCATCAATTAAGTGAACCCGAGTCATTGCAAGTGTATGGTGCATGACAAACTGTTGTCTGCTTGCAGGAGGGAGACAAACAAACCATCCCGTTCTTCAAACCGGATGGCTCGCGCTGCATCACGCGGCATCCTCTCAACATGAGAAAAACGGGCAACTGCGTGCGCGCTTACGTCGCGCGCATTTTCCAGAGTGGAATCGTGCAGGGTGTGCGCGGTGAAGCTTGGATGGTGTGGGATGCCGAAAAAAAGATGTACTTGGCTTTGACGTTCGGGACGCTGCAGCCAGACATGACCCGGAAATTATTTCTTTTGCTTGCGGTTGGGGCGGTTGGTAGATTTTGTTTATATGTCTCGAGTCTCGAGTAACACGCGCGTGCTAAGGTCAGACGCATTGTATGTCGCAGCTGCTGAACGGCCCGACAACGTCAACGTGCAGGCCACACTCAAACGGGGCCTAACAGATGTGCGGGTATTCAGCAGCAAGATGCCGGACTGCGTGGGCATGTGGCCTGGATGTTTGGGAGGATGTCGGATATTCTAGTTGCTTGAGTACGTGTGAGTCTCTTGAGTACATGTGAGTCTCATGTAGCTGCTTATGCGTTTGGTCTGCGTGTCCTAATCCTAGTTTCCTCCGTGACATTCACAACGATTTTCACTCCGGACTCGGAACCACGTTCATGGAGATGGTGTTGGGCGTGCCAGAGGTCGACCAGGCCAGGCACGTGTGGTGGAGTTTGGCTGCTCGGTGTAGGTCCAGGTGTAGCGGTGTAGAGTCTTTGTAGATCAGAGCACTGGGCCTCTTGGCAGGCGTGGTTCAAACACGCAGAAATCAACGGCCTGACGTCCACGAACTGCTCATGGGGGAAACTGGTCAGCGAGTTCGTGAAGGCGAACTTCCCGCGCTATAAGACAGGACAACTGTTCGACCTCGCCAAGCGCACATTCAACGCCTTGTCAAGGGACCTCAATTGCTTGCGTGAATGGTCGGAGCTGTTCGGGGAGCACACCGACTTCAACCATGCTGAGCTCGAGGCACTCCCTTGCTTGCAGAACCTGCTGTCGTGGGCCAAGATCATCACGCAGTCACTTCTGCCGTGCTATCCACGCGAACTGATGGTTATCTTGTGGATGCAAGGATGCAAGATGCTTGCCCTCTGGCGTCAAGGAATTATGCCTCCCATGTCATGTTAACCGCTAGCCATGCTGATTGCTGTGTTGCACCATGCCACACCATGCTACGTCACGCCTTGGTTGATTGTGTGTTGATGATTGCGCTGCAGTGCGATGCTTAGGCATGACACGTTTGATCAATGCTTGCGTGTTTGTATGCGGTATCTCCATGTTGACTGACGCACCGTGGGCATGATGTTGCTGCCAGCTGCTCTTGACTCAACCTTGATTCATTGAGCTTGTTGCCATTGACATGTTGAAGCTATTGAGCTTGTTGCCATTGCCATGTTGAAGCTATGTGCTGATGCTGTTGGCCGTTGACTGTTGACACTCTTGACATGTTATGGGCTTCATGGATTCATGTTCACGTTCATGTTCCAGGTTCCGATGGTTTCTCCGGCAGGTCCGGCGTGTGGGTTTTGCTTCGCAAAGCACAGCCCCGACGTTCTCAACCGAGTTCTCACAGAGGTGGCCGGAGCTCCGTTTATCAAATCAGCAGCGGCTGCCGCCGAGAGGAAAGCAAAGCGTGCTGCGGCGGACCAGAACACAGGGGCATCATCGTTGCCCACTGCTGTAGACGTTAGCGATCTTCTTCAGCCCAAGAAGAAGGCTCGCCGCAACGCTCCCAAGGGCAGGGCGGCTAAGGCCAAAGCAAAGGCGTCGGCATCGGCAAGCGGCGCAGGCGGGGATGTCGAGATGTCGGTGCAGGACATGGAGGGAGACGTGTCCATTGCCATGCCAGCAACAGGAGAGGATGACGACGAAGGGAATGGCTCAAGCAGGCCCCGTTGGTGGATTGACGACGTGCTCAGTTGTTTGGCCTACGCAGCTGGAGGTAGCTTGGCCCGGGCCCATGAATAGCTTTTTCGCTCTTGTACAGTGCTTCAGGAAATTCTCACATAGTGCTGCTTCATGTCGTTATTGTAACGTTGGCCTGCGGTGTAGGCATGGACGAACTCGTGCGACCCGAACTGGCAGAGGTTGTGGGTGTTGCCCTCGGCTTCGCCTTGGAGCTGGCATTCACAAAGACTGTCACGATCCGTGGGAAGCAGCGCAAGACTTGGTCACAGGCAGATTGCAAAGCAGAGAGGGCAAGAGAATGCACACACATCGATACATCCATTCTACAGCCACGACTCAGCCACAACAAATGGATGACTACACCCCATGGGCCCCCGGCTTCTTTTTAGTAAGAAAATTCAACATGCACATCCGACGTGGTAGATCAAGCTAGGGAACGATTCGTAACGATTCGTGGGAGATAAGAATTCGGAGACAACGTTAAGGAGACAAGGAGGCGATTCGATATTCGATAAGAAAGGTGCTGCGGAACAGAACACACAACGTAGAATAATTATAGAACAGAGTGACTGACAGCGAATCAGCCCGCCCAATCAAACAAACCATCAAGAGAAACAATCGCTAATCACCAGCGAAAGCAAGAATTCTACAAATTAACAAAGAATTGGATTGCCTGTGGCCGCCGGAGGTACGAGCAGCGATACAAGACCTGGTGCGAAAGGGTGTCGCAGAATTGAAAGCTTCACTGCCCACAGGGCCAGCTGGCAATGTCCTTGCGTTTCTGACGGAAACATTGCAGACAGCGAGTTCACAGCAGGCCCAGCCGGGCGAGAAGTCCGTGAACCTTTGGTTCAACTCTGACTCTGCCAAGTCTGTTCATCGCTGGGTGGTGACCAACAACAGCAACAAAGTGACCGATCATGTGTCGTATGTGGCGGCCGTTTCAGCTGTCATGAAGCGCCTGAACGATGCCGGCCTCGCACAGCACCAGCTCGCGTTAGGTGACCTCATGTTCACTGTGGCAGAGGCTATCTTTGAGAATGTCCCGCTGGCTGTGTCTGCCTTCACCACAGCCATGTGCCTGAAAGCTTCAGCAATTCCGGAGAATGATGACGCGAAG